GATAGATGAGATGATAGATGAGATGATAGATGAGATGATAGATGAGACTTTATTATCTTGAAGGAAATGCACAAGTTGCCAGCTGCTTTGAGCTGCACATCACAAAGATAGAAAAACAATAAAATCAAAGAATAAAACATTAAGGAAGTAGTAACGAAAAAGTAGTTACAACTTTTTGATAACACGACTTAAAAACAGAAAACAGAAGAAAACAGTTGTTCTCAAGTCCCTGCACCAGGAACACTGAATAAAACTGATGTGTGTTTAGGTGAAAGTCTCCGTCTTATTCTAGTGGACAGTTTGAACAATCAGGGAGTCTACGAGATCCCAGTCTAAATGAGAGGGAGGCGGTTTTAACTTCTTATCGTATAAACATAAACTTTATTTGCCATCAGGAAATTTGAGTTTTTCTCTTTTTCAGGATGCGTCCATCGCTCATCGTTTCCACGTCATGAGAGAGAAGCATCCTGAGAAGTTCAACAGCAGGTGAGCTTGTGTCGTCTAACCTGGTACTTTTTAAAATATCTTGTTTTATACGTTAAAAAAGTCACAAAGCTCCTAACAAAAAAAACCCCATTAAAAATCAAATCTACAGACTCTTTCATAAAAACACAATTTGTTTTACAAAAAACTGCAAAAAATATATAATATTTATAATTATAAATCTATTTGGATGTTTATAAATTAGGACTATAATTATTTATTTGCATGCAAAATTTTTATAATTTTCCAAGACAATGCTTTCACGTGCTTTTATTTTGTAAGTGCAGTACAATTCAGATCAGACCCCATGGACGACGGCCAGAGTGCGTTTCAGTGATTTGCTATCAGAATAATTTTCATACGGGTGTTTAGGGTCAAACAAAGTCTCACAAAAACTCATGCACGCTCACAGCACCCCCCCAGCTGCAACATGCTCCCACAGCCCTGAAGACAGATGAAGATGAAGATGAAAAAGATGCTGTTGAACCCAAAGCAGGTTTTCAGTTGTCTTAAACTAATGAGCAGTATAGACATAATCAGTGTTCCGTATTCCCTGTATTTTATTAAAATAAAGAAAACGACTCAACATAAACTGCATTTTTTCATCTACTTGCAACTCCTGAAGAGGTTAAAAACAAACTTGACCCGTCAGAGAGCGAACAGGGAGAACCAGAAATGCCCTTTGTCCGTCCGTCAGTGCATGTTGTATGAAAAATAATGAATAATAAATAAACATGAAAAATAATTAAGGAATCGACTTCTATTTTGGTGTGTGGCTGCATCTGGTGTAAGAAATGCTCCGTCTGAAAATCTGGCAGCTGCATCAAAATCCAAGATGGCTGCCGACATATAGTCCCTCGTTTATTGAGGGGAACTGTACCCTGAAGCCCCGCGATAAGTAAAAAACTGTGAAGTAGGAATAGTAGTACAAGCACTTAGTAGTAGTTTATTTTAGTATATATATATATATATATATATATATATGTGACTCATATATAATGGTGGTGTTGTTGCTCCAGCTGAGGTTGTCATTCAGGTGCACACCCAAGTACTTGTAGCTGGAGACCACTTCCACCACAGATCCTCTTATGTTCAGGGGGGTGTAGGTGTTTTTGTTCCTTCTGAAGTCCACAACCATCTCCTTTGTCTTCTTCACATTGATGTGAAGGTTATTCTCTCTGCACCAGCTCTCCAGGTGTTCCACCTCTTGCCTGTAGCTGGACTCATCATTGTTTGTGATGCATCCCACCACCGCTGTATCATCTGCAAACTTTACAATGTGACAGCCTGGATGGGTAGCTGCACAATCATACGTGAGCAGAGTAAACAGGAGGGGGCTCAACACACATCCCTGAGGAGAGCCAGTGCTGAAGGTTATGGTGGAGGAGGAGAAGTTGTGGATCCTCACTAACTGTGGTCTGTTTGTTAGGAAGCCTAGTACCCAGTTGCAAATGGAGGGGCTTAGTCCTAGTGTGAACAATTTGTCCATCAGGGTTTAGGGGGTCATGATGTTGAAGACGGATGTGAAGTCCACAAAGAGCATACGGACGTACATAAGAGTCCTTCTGCTCCAGGTGGGTGAGTGCAGTGTGGACCACAGAGGAGATGGCATCCTCTGTTAATCGGTTCTCACGGTATGCATACTGATGAGGGTCCTCGTTGATGTTGATGGTTGTTTTGATGTGAGTCATGACCAGTTTTTCGAAGCATTTAGCGACTATCGGGGTGAGGGCCACTGGCCCCAATCACCCCAATCATTTGAGGAAACTATGCTTTCTGGCTCTTGCTTTAAATTATAGCTGCCTCAAATGATGCAGTGGGGTGGCCAAAGATTAATCAATGGTGGCCAAGGCCACCTTTGATCACCCTCTGGCTCTGCCTTTACACGTAGTGATGGATAAAGTTTCTCCCTCCACTCACTCTGCGCTGCCTCGGACATGAAAAATTAAATAAATACAAAAAGTCCCTGTTCTTCTCCACAGTGCAGCTCCTGAATATCTTGAACCAAAACATGAAGTTTTACTTTCTTTCCCAGTTCGATTCCAGTCTAGAACTACAAATATTCCCTATTCAAATCCCTCAGTGG